CTTAAAACAAGATTCTCCGATGGGACAAAGCCAATTAGACTTATTAGACTTAGAACTATTGCTTTTTTTTCTCAATGGTTTTCATGCTCCGTCTCATCGGCAAATCTTGTTTTAAGGCCGTCAAAATGTGCTCAAATTAAGCAACATTTTGAGCAATTTTTATCTTTTTTTTCTTTACTTTTTGGCAGTGGTAGAGTTTCTTCCAACATTGACCAGAGCCTGTCCCACCACAGCATGTCCAACACAACCATCGCACGCACTTGAGCAACCTTTAGTGCGTCAGCGTGAACAAAAGGGGGAGTGGAACCAATGACCCTGGATCCAGAAAGGAAGAGGGTCAGCGAACACACTCTCCCACCCATCCCGTCCCGCACACGCCCTGCCACAGAACTACTGACGTTTAGGGAAGGGGGGGGGGGGGGGCAAAGGGGAGGGGGGCAAAGAGGGAGAGATCTATCAGAGCTGTCAGAGAGGGAAAAAACTGTCCGAGGGGAGACTGTGAAACTGTACCTGAGAACCAGAGACCGCATCTGCCCAAACACACATACACACATATACACACACATACACGCCCACACACACACAAGGAGCAGCAGTGACTTGGCAAATCTGCTTCTGGACCAGGCCGCATTACAACACAGACTGAAACACCTACTTACTCACAAATTTTTTTCCAACTCATTTCTTGTTTACTGCTAAATAATCGTTTTTTGATACGCACAAAAGCCTCTATATCAGGGGTCGCCAACGTTTTTCATTCAGAGAGCTACTTTTATACAGTAGTAAACATAAAATCTATGTAATAATTATGACAAAAAATGGAGAACACATGGAAAATGTTCTATAATACTCTATAACCCTATGTTTATACTTGCAATGGTTCAGAATGTATTCATTCAAGATGGTTCGGTTTAGCTTCGGAGGTGATTAGACAAAAATGTAAAGAAATGACGAGTCTCAGCTGCTGTCCCTGATGCTTTAAACAGTTGATAGAGCATTGGCCTTTGAGCCCGAAGGTTGTGGGTTCGAGCCCACCA